AAACGGTAACCCCATATCCACCTACATATCTGTTAACGTGGAAAGTGGAGTTATACAAGCAGTTCGACCATTTGACTACGAGCAAATTAAAACTCTTGATATTTTTGTAAAAGGGCAGGATGGGGGTTCCCCACCTTTAAGCAGTAATGCCACAGTTAAAATAAATATTCAAGAACAGAACGACAACCCTCCTCAGGTCCTGTACCCAGTCCAGACTGGTGGCTCTCTGGTGGCTGAGATGGTGCCTCGTTCAGCAGATGTTGGCTATCTGGTCACTAAAGTGGTGGCTGTTGATGTGGACTCTGGACAGAATGCCTGGCTCTCCTATAAACTGCAGAAAGCCACAGACAGGGCGCTGTTTGAAGTGGGCTTACAGAATGGAGAAATAAGGACTATCCGCCAGGTGACTGATAAAGATGCTGTGAAACAAAGACTGACTGTTATAGTGGAGGACAACGGGCAGCCCTCTCGTTCAGCTACAGTCATTGTTAACGTGGTGGTGGCTGACAGCTTCCCGGAAGTGCTGTCTGAGTTCACTGACTTTACACAGGACAAGGAGTACAATGACAACCTGACTTTTTACTTAGTGCTGGCTCTGGCTGTAGTGTCCTTCCTCTTCATCACATCAGTGAAGATCTACAGGTGGAGACAGTCTCGCATCATGTTTCACTCCAATCTCCCTGTGATTCCATATTATCCTCCACGTTACTCAGACACTTTGGGGACAGGGACTCTCCAACACGTGTACAACTACGAGGTGTGCAGGACGACTGACTCCAGAAAGAGTGACTGTAAGTTTGGCGGAGCAGGTAGTCAGAACGTGCTGATAATGGACCCCAGTTCTACAGGGACGATGCAACGGATACAGAGTGAAAAGAGCATCCTGGATGAACCAGACTCTCCTCTAGAGGTTAGTTATGTGGGGTTATTTCAGTTGTAAGCTCTTCACACGATTTATGTGGCTGAAACATTTGTTATAGCGCAATGCATCAGTATTTTGCAATCAGAACCATGGACTGTGGCCATGGTCGCGCCCTGGGCTTTTTTTTTCTATTTATTGAATTTCTTTAATGTGCTTGCCAATATCTATCTATTTATCTATCTATCAGATTTACATCTATCTATCATATTATGCAAACCATAACATTCAATGAATTAGTATTTAACTATTTCATTTGTTACTTGGTATTTATATATATGTATAATGGAACTCTTTGTACATAAGCGAACATATTGTATTGATATTTCCTTTCCACTTCATCATAACGGTGTATGAATATGTTTTTTTAACCAATGTATGAAGTATGCCCCTCATTATAGAATTGCATTTTTTAATCAACTATTTGATTGGTTATCTCTCCTTGTACATATCGAAATGGTTTGTGCTCGAGTAGCCTACAGTTTTTTTTTTCCGGGCACATTCTGTAGTTCATCACTCTGTACTCTAAGGGCCGCTGTAGGCCAGTGTGTTGAGTTGTCATGGTATACTTGTAAAGAAACCTCCCCATTACGGTGATATCACATAGAGAAGGACAGACACAGGGTTACAGCGTCGGTGGACATTCAACCGAGAGTGGAGAAGCTCTTTTTACCGATGAAGACGAATATGGATTTACCCATTTTACTCTGTTTTTAAAACTGTGAAGGACCATAGATATCCTTGCATCGCGGAACATAACTCGTTTTACTGCATTTTGCGAGGAAAATGTCGGGCAGAACAATGAGACTGCAAGTACTGTTGTTTTATTTGGTCTTTCGTCTCAGTTCAGTGCTCGGCCAGGTCAGCTACTCCATCCCCGAGGAAATGCCGAGTGGCGCTTTAGTCGGTGCTCTTGCTCAGGATTTGGGATTAGATGTAAAACGACTGAAATCCGGTCAAGCTCGCGTTTTTACAGGAGACAGTGCGGGATACATCGAGCTGAACAAAGACCGAGGAGTGCTTATTATCAAAGACAGGGTCGACAGAGATACGATTTGCAGACAGACTACGCCTTGTGCTTTGCATTTTCAGATAATTTTGGAGAATCCCATGGAGTTCTACAGTATCACAGTCGAGATTACAGACATAAATGATAATCCTCCAACCTTTGAAAAAAATGAAGTCAGTTTTAAAATCAGCGAATCTGCTGTAATTGGATCAAAGTTTGTATTAGACAGAGCAATTGATCTTGATGTTGGCAAAAATGGTCTCCAGAAATACGAACTTAAGCCGACTGATAATTTTGTACTAAAACGTGAAAGTCAAGCTGATGGAACAGAAAAAGTGGAAATGATTTTGCAGAAGCCCCTCGACAGAGAGAAGGACGAATTGATCTCTTTAGTGTTAACAGCGTTCGATGGAGGAGACCCGCAAATGTCAGGAACAATTCGGATTTTGATAACGGTATTAGATGTCAATGATAATGCTCCTATTTTTATACTGTTAAAAGATGAAGACAAATAGTTTCGATCCAGAATCAATATTTGCTCATATAAAAGTATTCT